GGCTGTCATTTGGAGTCTTTAACACGTCGCGCGCATTCACTAAAAAGGTAATAATGTTTATACATCTACAATTCTGTATAAGCTGTAATCGATTTAAAATTGAATTATCAGTATATTTGTAACTTTTAGTATAGCCATCTACGACCTATTCTTAGGAACGTAGGGATTATCGTTCCCCTATAGGCCTATACTATGGCATTGTATAGAAATTAAAAATATATATATTAAAAGAGTATATAAAATATTGTCCACAAAAATAAAGAAGTGAAATTCGGATCCAAGAATTGATCATCTTTCTCATGCAGATATCAAAGTTAGTAAGTCACAATTAGTTTACAAAACGTTGATAGTTTTTTTTTTAATCTAAACGTAAGCACATCTTGATCCAGATTCTTTTTTTTTGTTGTCAAAGATCTTAATCCAGATTCAGTGAGAATTGATGAAACGTTCAATTACTATTATTTAACTCCCACAAAAAAAAAAAATCCAAATACTGTTTGGGATAAGTCTTTTGCGGGTTACAACAAAATTAAAGTCTTCTCCTATGTTGTTTCTTTTTTTTTGCTATACAAGGTAAAATACGAAAACTAAAACATGATTGATTAGAGTTTTTATTGTTTTCTTTTTTCGTTTGTCACTTTTTGTTTTTGTAGTTGGAAGTTGAACTCTTAACTAATTAATTAGTCATGCTTGTCACTTTTTAGTATTGAAAATTAATAATATATATGGGATGAAATGAAAAGAAGTAACTAATCATTTGCTCAATTATACTACCAATTCGCACTATATATGTTACCAATTCCCACTATATACATTTGTTAGATCAAGCTCAATTGCTTGTTGTTTTCAAAATCACTGAGATGAAAAGTCATAGTGGAAAACGAAAAACAGTTTTTGGACTTCTACCAACAACATATCTACACGATATTTATAATTTCCCTATTAGCAATTTAATTATAATGACCGATCCAAAAAGTTAAATTAATTAAATACAAAAAGGAAGATAGTTCGCAACACCAACAAAGCAACGTCCCGAGAAAAACGGTAGCTTTGTGGAAACACACAAATAAGATAGTTTTTTTTTTTTGCTAAAACACAAATAAGATAGTTGCAAGATCATGTGCCACGCGTACACATTCTATTCAATTTCCATCTCATTCACGCGTTTTTTCTTCTTCTTTCTATTCTTTCAATTATTATATCTAATCATAATCCTAATAATATCCCTTAATCTATGCTTAGAACATGCATATAATATAACAATTAATACATTCCACCACTAGAAGCCAAAACTATAAAAGTAGTAAAAAAAGAAGAAGCTCGTTTGTACAGAGAGGATGAAAGAATGAAAATAACGGAATCCAATAACAATGTTTGTAATAAACGGACATAGAATGTGAATTATTGTATATAGTATTGATATAAATGATCTGTAAAAAATGTAGCATTGATATAACGGATATAATAAAACAAAATTTGTAATAAAGAGAGAAGAGGGCAAAACGGGGAACATGTCACGCGGATAGGTGTGAGTGAGTAAATGACGTAGGTTCCGTTATTTAAGAACCCCTTCTAGAGAGAGAGGTTCCCACACACCTCAAGAGAGAGAGAGCAATGGGGAGAGAAGAAGAAGAAAATGACAAGAATGGTGGAGGAGAGAGAAATATTGGAGATGAAACGGCGTCGTCTTTGTCGGACGGAACAGGGTTGGTTTGTGTAACGGGAGGGACTGGTTTTGTTGCTTCTTGGCTCATCATGCGTCTCCTTCAACGTGGCTACTCGGTTCGAGCCACTGTTCGAACCAATCCAGGTTTGAATGGGTTTTCTTTAAATTCCATTTTTGTTAACCGAGAAAATCTCAAACCGAAACTAATACTAATCCTCCGAAGTCCATAGAAATCAAAGTTTTGTATGATAAAATTGAAACTACTAGTATTGTCTTACCAAATAGAAATAAAATTGTTGTTTTGTACATTGTTGATTGGTCGGTTTAAAGTCATAAAGTACAAAGAAAAAGATATAGGCTATGGTTTATATTTATTGGTAATAACATTTAAAGTTGATTTTTGGATCGACAATTAAAAAATACATTTTTATGGGATGTGAAAAATTTATTGTACTTGGCTGGAATTGTCTGTCAGTTTGTAGGATCTTGAAGCTTCATATATATAGCTATGTCATGTTCCATGCATCTACTATATAGATAGTCAACCATATATTATATGATCAATAACTAATAACCATACGTTATAAATGATGTTAATATTTCTTTTTCTTTGTTTTGTATATTGTGCTTAATAATACAGAAGGGAATAAGAAAGATATAAGCTACCTAACCGAACTACCATTTGCATCGGAGAGGCTTAAAATATTCACCGCCGATCTCAACGAACCGGAGAGTTTTAAACCGGCGATTGAAGGATGCAAAGCCGTGTTCCACGTGGCACATCCTATGGACCAAAACAGTAATGAAACGGAAGAGACCGTTACGAAACGCACCGTGCAAGGTCTCATGGGGATACTAAAATCGTGTTTGGARGCTAAAACCGTGAAACGCTTTTTTTACACGTCAAGCGCGGTAACGGTTTTTTACGGTGGTGGAAGCGAC